TTTCCCATAAATCTCTGATAATACAGGATTGGCTCAAGTTCCATACCACAGTTTATAGTGAGCTGGATATGCAAATACCAATAGTTGTGTGTACTTACATTTGTGCTCAAAAGTGTGCATACCCTGGCAGAAATTGTGAAATTTTGGCATTGCTATTGGAAGTATGACTGATCATGCCAAAAAATTGTTTGCTCTGGAAAAAGACGACACCAATGTTACAGAAAAGCCCGGCTACAATATGCCCAACAGCACCTTGACACGCCTAACCAGGCTTTTTTGTGGCATTGGCGCAGTAAAAGCAACTCGACCATGCAGTTGATTTTGGCTCAAGTATGGTATTGTGCTCCTTCAAATTAATCACACCACCTTTTTATTATGGTCAGGGCTAAGAAAAAAAAAATCATAAAATACTGCCTACTAATTGTAATTACTAAACCCAGGACCCTGCATTCACTATATCTGGACTTCCACAGTACACAGAACATGGAAGTGCAATTATTTTAGTAAATATAAACTGCTAAATACCTTTTCTCATCAGCAATTAGAGCAGTCTTGTGACTTCTATCAGTGTTCAGCACAGCACTGGTTAAAGCTTGTAGGAGGAGCTTTCTGTAGGAGGATGCAGAACCCCTGACCTCTGTCTGGGCATTGCGGATTGGCCCAGTGCTGGTCACATGCACTCTCCCAAGAAAACAATATACCCTCTCTAGCAGTACACACCAAACTGAGCATGTGCAGAGTGTCTCCACCTCCACTGGAAGAAGGAGAGGATCAGAGAAGCCTGGATCAAACAGCATTTTTAGACAATGCAGATGATTAACCCCTTAGGTTCCACAGTGAGTATAACAAGCATGCTTTACTGCATATACAGACTGATTTCACTGTTGTGGGTTTAGTAGCGCTTTAATAGATGATTGAACAATACTGACTGGCATATTCAAGGCTTTTGATATCTTTTTATATCTTTTTCCATCTTTATAAAGTTCCATTACTTTGTTATGCAGGTCTTTTAACAGTACTGTTCTGATCCACATGGCTCAGTATCTAGCCTGCTCAGTGCATCCATGTAAGAGCTAATAAAACCCATTGACTATTTATCCACAGACTCAAATTGCAATTTAAAAAGGCACAGGTGAGGGAAATTAAAGTGTTACTAAACCCAGGACCCTGCAGTCACTATATCCGGAGTCCCACAGTACACAGAACATGAAAAACGCAATTATTTTCGTAAATATAAACTGATAAATACATTTTCTCATCAGCAGTTAGAGTAGTTTTGTGACTTCTATTAGTGTCTAGCAGAGCTCTAGTTAAAGCTAGTAGGAGTTCTTATTCTCCCCTAATTGTCCTATGAGGCTGCAGGACCCCTGGCCCTCTTTCTGGACAGTGCTGATTGACCCTGTGCCGATCACATGGACCCTCCCAAGAAAAAAAATGTCTTTAAGCAATACACTTCAAACTGAGCATGTGCAGCTTGCCCCCAAGGCTCTGTTCTATCAGTGCAAGGATTGGGGACTGTGGAAGAAGGGGAGGATCAGAGAAGACAGGATCAAACATCCTTTTTACACAATGCAGAGGATTAACCCCTTAGGTTCCACAGCAAGTGTAACAAGCATGCTTTACTGCATATATAGACTGATGTTACTGTTGTGGGTTTAGTAAAACTAACTTTTATTTGCTATTTTAACCCCTGTGTATCACCTTGTGTGTCTGTATCAAGACCAAACATTCTAAGGTATGTAAACTTTTGATCAGGAATATTTGGGTGCTTTTTGTTACCATTATGTTTTAAAAAGGAGCCAAACAAACTATGTGATAATAAATGACCTCGTATGATCCCTATACTTACAAAAAAAATTGTTTTTCGACGTGATCAATCATATTTGCAATATCAATGCAAAAAAATTCACAATTCTGTCAGGGTATGCAAAACTTTGAGCACAACTGTACCCATATTTAGTCAGGTTAGGTTATGTGATCCTACAGCTCCAGCTCTCCTGTGTCAGAGAGCAGGTGCTGCAGGGGAGAGGAGGGAACACCAAAAATGATTGGGTCACGGGAGCCCAAAAGTGAATTCCCTGCCCTTGACAAGCACTCCTTGAGCCAGAACTGCAGGATCATGTGACCAGACCATATTAAAATAGGTTAAAAGTGGGTGTAAAAGGGTTTTTTTTTGCCCTAAAGCATTCTATGCATTAGGGTAAAAAAATCCTTCTATGTCCCCTGATATTTACCCGATCTCAGTAGAGCGCTGTGCCTGAGAGCAGTGACTCTCTCCATTCTCACTCTCCTCACTGGCCATAAAGGCAGCAGTGGGAGCCATTGGCTCCTGCTGCTGTCAATGACAGCCTGTGAGAAGACAGCAGGGGGCAGGGCTGAGCTGCACTGTGTGTGTCAACTGACACACAGAGCATGGCTCGGGAGTGAGCCCACACAAGTGCCCACATAGCAAACCACTTGCTATGGAGACACTCAGAAAGGGGGATGAAATAGGAATGCCAGCAGGGGACCCCAAAAAAGGAGGATCGTGGCTGCTCTGTGCAAGTATACATGTTTGTTATTTTTAGAAAACTCCCTGTACAATGCCTTTAAGTATCTTTATTATACAGGTTAGGCAGGAGGAAGGAACATTGTTAAGAATAGTTAGACTTAGGCTTTCCTTTTACTTTGGGCAAATATCCCACCACCAGATCCACAGGACTACGCACATTACATCACTTCCCCTCAGACGCTACAACGTGGTTACGCATGCTGGACGTGATTTTCGTATCATATGAGAAAATGCGTATTGCTAGTAACCTTTCCATTTGCAATTTAAAACTTGCAAGCAAAAAAAAGACAGATGATCTGTCGTCCGATTTTCTGATTGTGTGTATCGGCCATAACTTTACCAGGCAATGTGGGTTCCAACCACAGTTGTTTGGTTATTAACGCATATATTTTGAGTTTTTATTTCAGTGTTCACCTTATGGCTGAACTTCTGATAGATATATTTTTTTTTTAAACTTCTATATTCAAAACTGCAGAATTAATTGTCATTTTTAAGTCTGATCTCCAGGTAAATATTTTATTGCATAGTTAACAGTGATACAGCTGTTGGATGTTGGTATACATATTCCATAGCTGTAGGACTTCTCTCTCCTCACTGGCTGTGATTGACAGCAGTGGGAGCCAATGCCGCCCGCTGTTGTGTCTGAGCCAATGAGGAGGGAGAGAGCAGACAGAGTCTCTGCTAACAAGCACAATGCTGGGTCAAGATCGTGCTCAGAAAAGTATAAGGCCCCATGTACACGAGACACTTCTGAATGATGGAAACGGACTGGTGGAAAACGTAGGTTAAAAAACGTGTGTGTAGCTGCGTTTGCATAATGCGTTTATGCACGTTTGCATTTAGAAGCATTTTTTAACCTCCCAAATGCCCAGAATGCACTGAAAAGTGGTAAATTACTAACTATTTCAGACTGTTTCAGAGAAATACAGAGAGTAGAAGCAGAAACAGCAGTATGTGTTGAGGTTAGCTTAGGTGTGAGTTGCTCATTAACATTTCTTTTGTTTTCAAGGGTGGGAAAGGTGTCTGGTGGAGTGAGTCACTAAGGGCACCTGACAGGGGGTCTTCATGAGGAATTTGAGGTGTGAATGGTCATTAACATATCTTTTGTTTCCAAGGGTGGGAGAGGTCTGAGGTGTGAATTGGTCATTACAATGTGTGACAAGCTTGGTAGGAACATCCTGTGTTCAGTGTTTTATCCATCTGAGTACCTTGAAAACGCTTTGCATGCATTTTTCATGATGAAAAAAGGCTCTGGACAGCATTGGGAACTGGAAGAGTTGGAAAAAAAATTTCAAAACGCAAACGCTTATAAACGCGATTTGCCGCGTTTACAAGTGTGTTGTGTTTGAAACGCTCATAAAATCAACTGCTGAACGCAAGTTTTCTGCGTTCAAAAAAACGACTGTAAACGACTGTAAATGAAAGATGTGTACATGGACACATAGGAAAACATTAAGGTGAGTTCAGGGGCTGCTGAAACAAAAGCTGAACAGCTCCTAAATGTGAGATTATCAGCTGCAATGTACAGGAGCCCTAAGGGAGAGCTGGGGGAAGGGGGGGACTGCATGCAGAAGGTTTTATACCTGAATGCATGAAAATAGAAAACCTTCTGCCTTTACAACCACTTTAATTAAAGAAAAAATAGTCTTGATAAAAGTATCTAGAAAACATGGGCTTGCTTTTCTTCATGGAGAAAAGAGGTCCATCTCCCCAGCATAAAGCTGAAGCATGGTAGCTATGGAGCTGAGTGGAAACTGAAGTATCATGGAGTGTAAGAAGGTACACTTGGCCAGCAACAGCTTTTTATTTTATTGCCAGTGTCCAAATTCTCCTAAAGACAGCATAGTAACCAAATGTTCCTCAATTCTGCTGTTCCTCTGTCTCTTGATGACCGATTAGGAAACCACTGTTACAAAGAAAAAAAAAAAAAAACCTTGTTTTTCCTCATTCTTTACAGGATACCAAACACAGTACAAAGGAAAACAAGGAATGAGGAAGAAGAGCTATGCAGCCTGAATGTCATGAAAAAATATTATCCAGAAGTAGAGAATAATAGGGTTGGACTGAAACGCACAGATCCAAATATATGAGATGTACTGTGTGTGTCTGTGTGTACATGGATATTCGTCTGCCTCCATCTGCCTGTGTAGTCCATCTTTATTCACTCATCAGTTTCTAACATTTGTTATATTCAAGGATTTCTCATTGCAAAATTGGAAGTCCGGATGTTAGCAAGACTTAATCTGGCAAAAACTGGCGGCAAAAATGAGCCGACAGGCATTTGGTGGCAAAAATCAGTGAAGCAATCATTTCACACGTAATAAAAATGTGAAAAAAAAGGAACATCTGAAATGTGAAGCTCCACTTGCTCCTCATTCAGCAATGTTTGTAAAATTACACAGAATTATACTGGAGGAAGGGGCGATTTGGGGGGGGGGGGAAAGGGGGTACTGTACTCTGCACTCTGTATGCAGCGCACCCCTGAACCCTGCACTCTGTATGCAACGCACCCCTGAACCCTGCACTCTGTACGCAGCGCACCCCCTGAACCCTGCACTCTGTACGCAGCGCACCCCTGAACCCTGCACTCTGTATGCAGCGCACCCCTGAACCCTGCACTCTGTATGCAACGCACCCATGAACCCTGCACTCTGTATGCAGCGCACCCCTGAACCCTCCACTCTGTATGCAACGCACCCATTAACCCTGCACTCTGTATGCAGAGTACCCCTGAACCCTCCACTCTGTATGCAACGCACCCCATGAACCCTGCACTCTGTATGCAGCGCACCCCTGAACCCTCCACTCTGTATGCAACGCACCCATTAACCCTGCACTCTGTATGCAGAGTACCCCTGAACCCTCCACTCTGTATGCAACGCACCCCTGAACCCTGCACTCTGTATGCAGCGCACCCCTGAACCCTCCACTCTGTATGCAACGCACCCATGAACCCTGCACTCTGTATGCAGAGTACCCCTGAACCCTCCACTCTGTATGCAACGCACCCATGAACCCTGCACTCTGTATGAAACGCACTCCTGAATCCTGAACTCTGTATGCAGCGCACCCCTGAAACCTGCACTCTGTATGCAGCGCACCCCTGAAACCTGCACTCTGTATGCAGCGCACCCCTGAACCCTGCACTCTGTATGCAGCGCACCCCTGAACCCTGCACTCTGTATGCAACGCACCCATGAACCCTGCACTCTGTATGCAGCGCACCCCTGAACCCTCCACTCTGTATGCAACGCACCCCCTTAACCCTGCACTCTGTATGCAGAGTACCCCTGAACCCTCCACTCTGTATGCAACGCACCCATTAACCCTGCACTCTGTATGCAGAGTACCCCTGAACCCTCCACTCTGTATGCAACGCACCCCTGAACCCTGCACTCTGTATGCAGCGCACCCCTGAACCCTCCACTCTGTATGCAACGCACCCATGAACCCTGCACTCTGTATGCAGAGTACCCCTGAACCCTCCACTCTGTATGCAACGCACCCATGAACCCTGCACTCTGTATGAAACGCACTCCTGAATCCTGAACTCTGTATGCAGCGCACCCCTGAAACCTGCACTCTGTATGCAGCGCACCCCCTGAAACCTGCACTCTGTATGCAGCGCACCCCTGAAACCTGCACTCTGTATGCAGCGCACCCCTGAAACCTGCACTCTGTATGCAGCGCACCCCTGAAACCTGCACTCTGTATGCAGCGCACTCCTGAAACCTGCACTCTGTATGTAGTGCACACCTGAAACCTGCACTCTGTATGCAGCGCACCCCTGAACCCTGTACTCTGTATGTAGTGCACACCTGAACCCTGCATTCTGTATGCAGCGCACTCCTGAAACCTGCACTCTGTATGCAGCGCACTCCTGAACCCTGCACTCTGTATGTAGTGCACACCTGAACCCTGCATTCTGTATGCAGCGCACTCCTGAAACCTGCACTCTGTATGCAGCGCACTCCTGAACCCTGCACTCTGTATGCAGCGCACCCCTGAACCCTGTACTCTGTATGTAGTGCACACCTGAACCCTGCATTCTGTATGCAGCACACCCCTGAACCCTGCACACTCTGTATGTAGCGTATACCAGGCCAATTTTTCAGGTTGGCAGTAAAAAAAAGGTGCTCTGTCAGTAAATCTTCCATGTTCTGTCAGTAAAAAAAAAAAAAAAAAGTTGAGGGAGGTTGGCAACCTTGGTCAACACAAACACAAACAACAAGCAGTTTACTGCTCATTCAAGGACAGCTGTCAGAGCCATGAAAAGAATTCCTTTATGCTCCAGCTGAATCCAGAAGAAAATGTCTGTGGAGCAGGTATAACCTATAATATAGAGCCATCCATCACACCTGAACACAGCTGTTTTGGATTTCATAATTGTATGAATTGCTCATCAGTGAAATGATTGAGCAATGACTGCACTGATGAGCAATGTAATGTAACAGATGTAACCTTCCAAGCTGATGGTTCTCTAATGTAACAGATGTAACCTATCCAGACGGATACAGAATTCAGCCGGATACAAGATCTGGCAGTCCATCCTCCCTGCAGGTGGATGAAAACAGCGCACAGTCATGTGAGCAGGGCTATTGCCTACAGAAGTATTCAGATTGCTGGCTGAAAGGTCTCAGAGTTTTCAGGTACCTTCCATAGAAGACAAGGCACATTACAGTGTATGTCTGGGAGGGCAGAAAACAAAAACATATTCAGTATATCTGTAATACATGCACATTCCCCCATGTTTTGTCTCTAAAAGCATTGCAAGTATAAACAAAAACAGCCTGTTATTCCTGCCAGAAATCCCGTGAGCTGAATGAGGGAGTCAGGCTTCAGAAGGGGCCAGAACAGGCCTAGAGGTATGGCAAGGACAGTGCATTTTCACCTACTGGGGCCTCTTTATATGCAGAAGGTGAGCCTTGTTTTTCTTCGGTTTGGATAGAGTCTGCCAGATTTTTTTGTTGTTTGAGCCCTTATTGAGAAGATTCCCCCCTCAATTACTGTCAGGATAGTGAGAACAGACAAATACACATTTTAAATAGACTGGGTATGGGTTAGAGCCCCTCATTTCTTGTACAAGAGACAGGAATTGAGGAAAAATCTCCCCAACTCTATTACAGCAATATACAGAAATGAAAACTCTTCCCCGATCTATTGAGTAAAAAAAGTTCTTGGTTAAAGTTGGGCTCAAAATAAAACATGGACCGACCTCTCAGAATACTGCAACAAAGTGAGCATGAATCCAAGGAAAATGAACTTAAAAGAGGAACTTCACTCCCCCTTTACTGCCCCTCCCCCCCTTACCTTGCTTGCTGGGTTGTCATCCAAAAAACATTCTTACCATGTGGCATGCTGCCATCTTCTCTTATGACATCATCAAGGAGCCAGCTGCCTCTTCCAGTTTCTGATGGTGCATGAGCAGTGTGGTGAAGATTGACCCAAAGCCTCCTGGGATGTCTGAGATCAGTAGCCCAGGAGGCTTCAGGGGGAACTGGGGCGGGGGGGGTCTATACCTCTCACTAGATATTCCAGACACTAATATGTACACTTAAACCGAACCTATTCATTGACCCCTAACATAGAAAAATCTTGCTATAGACCAAATATAAAGTAGGAGTACAGCCAAAGCTCGTTTGCCTTTACTTCTGTAGATTACAGGAATGCAGTTTGTTCTGCAATCCTGTGACCCGGTTTCAGCCGACAGTTTCAGCCTAAAGTCCACTGCTCTCGGCTGACATCACTGAGCTGGTCCGGGATGGGGAAAAACCCCCCTCCCCCCCACTTTAAAGTTGAGATCTACCCAGATCCCTGGACCAGCCACCCAGCGATCCACTGAGAGCCTGAACCAGCTGCTCCCACTCACTGACAGTCACCAGCTTTCTACACACAGAGCACTGAGAACTGAGAGATCATCGGTCTTTGATCGCTCAGTTCTCAGTCTTAGAGACAGTGGGGGGGAGGGGCAGATGCAGAATCGAAATGATGCTCCATCCACCTAGTTAAAGTAGAACTATAAGCAAAACGTTTTTTTCCATTTTGAATAGAGCAAGGGAGAGTTATAACCCGTAAGATTTTTTTTTTCACCATCTGTGTCCCATTGCCGAGATTTACCTTCACTTCCTGTCCCATAGCCAAACAAGAAGTGAGAGGAAATCCCTATAAGTGAAGGGAATTCTTTGGGTACCCCAGGTCACCAGAACGGGTGTCCCCATTGGAAGATTTCCCCTGTATTACTTTTCTGGAAACAACCAACATTTGGGATTTTCTTTTACATTCACTTTTAATGATAATGGTAAATAAGACAAATAGAGAAGGTGAATCTCCAGGGGGCGCAGACAACAATATCAGGTGTTCTAATCCCTCTCCACTCTATCCAAAACTGAAAAAAAAAGAATAAAAAAGTTTTGCCTTTTGTTTTGTTTTTTTTAAATCATACTTAAAATTAAACAAAAAAAACCCACACACCTCAACTTCTCTTTTAAAGCATACCTCTGGGGAAAGGTAAAAACCTCCCACGTAGTGGGCCCTGCACTACAAGGGTTAAATTCTCCTTTAGGGCTAGGGGACTACAAAAATCACTTTTATATACGTGATCCTACACTCCTCTAGGCTCCCTCCAGAATGCAAGACCACTTCCCGCATCCTTTTCACTCCTATGCTCCAGCAGTCGCAGGTCTTCTGACATCATCAAGTCCAATGCAGAACCCATAGCCCTACAATGGATGTGAGTGAGCCAATGAAAAGACCTCTGCCGGTGCATAGGGGAGTAGAGACGAGCGCTGGCTGCCGAAGGAGTGGGGGCTCGTGGAAGTAAAACTGCTTTTTCTGGCCCTCTAGACCTAAACAAGCATTTAACCCTGCACTACAAGGACCCTGCACTACAAGGGTTAAATTCTCCTTCAGGGCTAGGGGTCTACAAAAATCACTTCTATTTGTGTGATCCTACACTCCTCTAGGCTCCCTCCAGAATGCAAGACCACGTCCCGCATCCTTTTCACTCCTATGCTCCAGCAGTCACAGCTCCTCTGACATCATCAAGTCCAATGCAGAACCCATAGCCCTGCAACGGATGTGAGTAAGCCAAAGAAAAGTCCTCTGCCAGAGCATAGGGGTGTAGAGACGAGCACTGGCTGGGGGATCGGGGGAAGTAAAACTGCTTTTTCTGGCCCTGTAGACCCAAACAAGCATTTAACCCTTGCAGTTCAGGAGCAGCCCCACTGCACACATTTTTCCTTTGCCTGGAGATAGGGTTTTAGGGTTGGTTCACACCTGAATTTCACAAGATCGTGGTCCAATTCCTGTGCGATTCATTGTGGTGCGATTTAAGTCCATTCATTTGATTGAGCTGAAACTGCATTAGATAGCACCAAAAGTAGTGCATGCACTACTTTTAAGAACAAGCAGTGACTGGATCTCATGATACTGCGGTACCAAGAGATCTTGTGCTGGCAAAAGCACTGCATGTGCGATCTATGTTTGTGGTATCGCTAGGAATACATTGACACCGCAGTAGATAGCATACCCAGTGCATTTTGAAGATGATGTGGGAAATGCACATGGAACGCAGGTTTCCCTACTGTGTTCTGTTGTGTACAGGCCCAAAGACAAACAACTCATATGCACATAAATCACCGGCGCCAAAAAAATAATAAAAATACATAAAATGATAAAAACAAATTTAAATGCTGCTGTACATAAGTGTAACTTACACCAAAAATTATAACATCACAAACAGCGCAAAATAATTTGTTAAAGTGCTAAATCAATATGTAAAATATATTAAATATAAAATATAGTCCCACTCCAAAATATGTGAAGAAAAATATAAGTAAAATGACAATTGAAAAAAATCCTTAAATATTCACAAAGTCCTCATTCCAAAGGGTGGAAGCACACTTCTTTGGAATGAGGACTTTCTGAATAATTAAGGATTTTTTTTCGATTTTCATTTTACTTATATTTTTCTTCACATATTTTGGAGTGGGACTATATTTTATATTTAATATTTTTTATATATTGATTTAGCACTTTAACAAATTATTTTGCGCTGTTTGTGATGTTATAATATGAAAAGAAAATCCGTATATTTAGTAAGAAGTCTGACAGCACTTAGTTTTCCTGTCATCACCTCTGCCATCACAGTTTATAAAGTCTCCGGGCCGTCTCATGATATAAAG